AGATAAGTCCAGAGGAATTTCAGAATAAGTCCTAAGATCGTCCATAGTAGAACCAAATTACTTGTTGGGTAACTCTAGAAGACTTCTACGGAATGTTCAGAGGACTTCCAGGGCAAATTCAGAGGATTTTCAGATTAAGTCCAGAAGACTTTCCGATTAACTCCAGAGAACTTCCAGAGCAAGTCGAGAGGACTTCCAGGGTAAGTCCAAATGATTTCTAGAAGTCTAGAACTGGTCAGTATAGAGGACTATCAGATTAAGTCTAGAAGGCTTTCAGGTTAAGTCCAGAGGACTTGCAACAACGGCGCCGGTGGTGTAGTGGTAAGCGTGATTACCTCTCACCCCAGCAGGCCTGGGTTCAATCCCAGTCGGCGCCGCCGGGATGTTCTGAGGCATAACATCTCTGATCACGCCTTCCTTCGGATGGGAAGTAAAGCCGTTGGTCCCCGGTTCATGAGTTGATGGGTCGATAGGTAGGGTCCAGGTGTGGGAGCTGCCTTCCTGGCACGTCGGTAGCATTGGTGCTCAGCACGGAAAACAAGATCGACGGAAAAAACAAACCAAAGGAAAAACAAAAAAGAGGACTTGCAAGGTAAGTTCAGGGATTTTTTAAAGTAAGTCCAAAGAATTTTTAAGATAAGTTCAGAGGATTTCCAGGATAAGTTTAGTGGAATTCTGTTGCAAGACCAGAGGCCTTACAAGCTACGTCCAGTAAATTCTTCAAGTAAGTCCAGAGGTCTACCAGCGTAAGTTCAGAGGACCTTTAGTGTAAGTTAAAAGAACTTCTGGGTTAAGTCAAGATGACTTTTAAAATAAGTTCAGAGACACGTATTCAGGATAAATCAAGATAAATTTCAGGTTAACACTAGAGGATTTACGTAGTGAATCCAGAGTAAATCCAGAGTACTTTCAAAATAATGTAAGTCCAAAGGACTTTCAGGATATTCCAAGGTATGCTAAGGGAAATTCCAGCCTTGCACGATAAGTTGAGTAGATTTCTGATATTCTAGAGAAAGTCATTAGGACTATCAGGGTTCAGTGCAGAGAATTTCAGAGTCTAGAGGATTTCCAGCGTGGAAGATATCTAAGGCTAGTGAAGAAGCCTTCCTTCGCAAGTCAGGAGAACTTCCAAGCTAGCATCTAGGGAATGTCAAGGGGACTTTCTGAGTAACACTAGAGGCTCTCCATAGTATATCCAGATTAATTCCAGAGTAACATAATTTCAAATGACTTTCAAGGTATTCCAGGGGAAGGCCAAGGAACTCTCAGGGTAAGTCCAGAGGACTGTCAGTATAAACCCAGAGAACTTCCAAGATAAGTTCAGAGGATTTACATGATAAGTCAAGTGAGATGAAACACTCCCCATCTTAAGACTAAAAAACTACCAGGGTAAGTCCAGAGCGCAAGGACTTTTAGGATGAGAGTCCAGAAGAATTATTTTAAGTCTATTCCAGAGAAAGTGAAGAGGACTTCCAAAGTATGTTTCGCGAATTTATTGACAAAAAAGAAGCTCGGAGGAATTTAGGATAAATGCAGAGGATGTCCTCGGTAAGTCCAGATAAATTCCAGAGACTTTCACAGTAAGTCAACAGCAATTACAGAATAAAAACAACAGTCCAGAAGCCTTCCACGATAAGTCCACAGTTAGAAATTACTATTTTGACACCAGAGGACTTCCAGAGAAAGTCCATAGGAGGAAGCCTAGCGGACTTCAAAGATAAATCCTGAGGACTTCTAGGGTAAGTCCAGAGAACTTGCAGGGTAGGTCCAGAAGACTTTCAGAATATGTCCATTCCAGAGAAAGTCAAGAGGACTTGCAGGGTATGTTCAGCGAATTTCTAAGACTTGCAGTGATTTATAAAACGTTGGTAGGACTTTTAAGATTAGTGCAGTGGATTTCCACGGTAAATCCAGGGAACTTTCGGAGTAAATCCAGACGACTTTCATTATGTCACGCAAAATTGAGGAAAAACTTACCCCTTCACCCCTTCACCCCTCCCTCTTTCATCACGTTTTTCCTATACCAACTGCAATGGCTTGTCACATTTTTCCCCTGCGCCCTTGGAGCGTGGCATAATATTTGCATCACCCCTAAGACCACAGCACTTTCAAAATAAGCCAGCAGAGCTTTCAGGATAAGTCCAGAGAACATCCAGTGTAAATTCCAGAGAACTTTTAGAATAAGTTCAGCGAAAGTCCAGGGAAAATCCAGGAAGACTCCCAGAGTAAGTCCAGATGACTTCTATGTTACGTATAGAGGACTGTCTCAGTAAGTCTGTCGAACTTCGAAGGTAATAAATCCAGAGGATTTTCGGAGTAAGTCCAAGAACTTCCAAATGGCTATAGGGATAATTTTAGACGACTTCTACGAGGACCCCAGAGAGACTTGTAGGGTAAGTTCAGACTTCCGGGGCAAGTTCACAGGACTTTCATATTAAGTCCAGTGAACTTCTAGAGTACGTTGAGAGGACTTCCAGGGTAAGTTCATAGATTTCTAAAGTAAGACTAGTTGACTTTTAACAAAAGTTCATAGGATTTCCAGAGTAAGTTCAGGAGACTTCCGGTGTAAGACCAGAGGAACTTCCTAGGTATGTTCAATGATTTTCTGGAGTTCTAGGACTTCTAGGATGAGTTCAAGGATTTTTTTAGAGTAAGTCCGGGAGAGTTTTAAGCACTAGTATGCGCAGCAGGAGTGGCAATTAACTGTCATATTAATCTCGTTAGTTATTTAGAGCTATTTTTGGCCCTTGGACAACCTTGAATTGACACTCCTGGTTTTAAAAGTCTAAGAGTAATCTAAAGCGAGTTTACCACCCCTTGCCCCCCAAATTTGCACACTGCACACGCTAATGGTTGAACGATAAAATCAGAGCATTTCCTTGGAAAAATCCAGAGGACTTCCATTACTTAGTAAGTTCAAAGTACTTTCAGAGTAAGATAATTCCAGAGGACTTCCAAGTATTCAAAGGTAAGCCTAGGGCACTTTCAGGGTAAATGTAGAGGATTTTAAGGTTAACTCCAGATGACTTTCAGAGGACTTCTGATCTTCTAGTGTAAGAATTTTGGACTTCACAGCAAGTCGGGAGGATTTCTAGGGAATGTGAAGAAGTCGCCCAGAGAAGTTCCAGGCTCGCATCCAGGATAAGTCAAGAGGACTTTCAGATTAATACTAAAGGCTGCACAAAGAATTGCACACTACTTTCAGAGCAAGGTAATTGCAAAGGATTTCCAAGGTATTCCAAAGTAAGCCCGGGGAACTTCCAGTGTAAGTGTCTCACTTTCATTATAAACCCATAAGACTGACAGGATAAGTCCGGGGAATTTTTGATCATTTTCTAAAGTAAGTTATGAGCAATACTACAGCAATACAGGTTAAGTTCAGTCCAGAGGACTTCCGGACTAAGTCTAGTGTATTTATAGTGTAAGTGTAGAGGCCTCCCAGCGTAAGTCCAGAGGACTTGAAGGCTCAGAAAAGGGGTTTTTCTGGAAGTTTTCCAGGGTAAATCCAGAGCTATTCCAGAGTACTTTTAGAGTAAGATATTGCCAGAGGACTTCCAAGGTATTCTAATGTAAACCTGGTAAATGAAATAAACACTACTATTCAGATGTTAGCTATTAGAATAAAACATCGCGAGTTTATTGCTCTCGACTATTTATATCAGATGTAAACAATCATGTTCGAATGCCTTTTGTTTACTTTGTACATTATTTACTACTACTTCTAAAACTATCATCTTGTTGTCCAAAGAGCTTTCAGGATAAGTCCAAACTCCAGATGACTTTCAGAGCAAGTCCAGATGACTTCTAAGGTAGGTCCAAACGATATGCAGGGTAAATCCAGGGAATCTTCAACATAATTCCAGAACACTTCCAGGGCAAGTCCAGAAGAATTTGAGTTCAGTGTTAATTGTAGCATTTACGGTAAGTCTATAGACTTTTACGATATATTCAGATTTAGATCCATTACTGCTAAAAAAACTACCGTAAATTTCCCAATCGTGCTCCAAGCACATTCAGGGCAATCTAATTATCAGTTTGAATGTGTCGCTAGCTTGCTCCATTCCACGCAACGAGCAGATAAATCAAGCTGCCTGTCTAACCAAACTCGAACAACATCCGGAACATGTCCACCGGAAGTATTTATAGATCAGAGAGCCGTTCTAGAAAGTATATGTATTATTGCCATCTCTGGACATATAGGTATGGAGTTAGAAGTACTCTTGTACAATGAGTAATTATCTGGCGCAAAACCGCTACCGGTGGTGGTGGTGGTGGAGGAGGTGATACCAAACCGAGATGACCGCGGTGCTCAGTATGAGAGATTACGTGACCGTCCAGAACGGTAATTTGCTGTCACTGTCACCGCTGTCGAGCTACCGGTGTCAACGCAGACAACACGGATTATTAATCACATTGTTAGCCCCATTATTTTGCAATTGCTGTGTGGTCGAGCGAGAGGTGATGATAATCGCCTAAATTGCATATTGGAAATGGGCATAGAATTTTACAACGCTGTTATTATTCTGGTTGGGTGCCTGCTTCCCATCTGTAGCTTTTTCATAATTATTCACAAGCACAGTAGACTAATCAGTAATGTAGTAATTTAGGTACGGTATTACCAAGCCGGAGGCGGTGAGTTCAATTCCCGACCGGTCTAGAAAATCTGTCGGACTGGAAATATTCTTGACTTCCCTGGGCATAGAGTAAGATTGCGCTTGCCACACAATGCTCTAATTCTCGCATTGGTTGGCATAGAATGCTCTCAATTAATAACTGTAGAAGTGCCCAAAGAACACTAAATTGAGAACAGGCACCAGCTCGTATAAGAGCGTCAAAGTCAAGCATTAATTTTCGTTTATTACGTTGAATCTAGAATTTCATTTGTTGTCATAAAGCAAACGAAAAAAAAACATGAAAAGCAGCCAAATCTGAAACTTTCCGGACAGCTGGATGATTGAACCCTTCCCAAACAAAAATATCAAAACAACAATTCAACCTACCTCCTGGTCCTGAGTCGCACATAGCCCCGTCAGTTCGCCGATCTTCTCCCGGGCTTCATCGAGTTCACGCACCGGGTTGCGATTCGGATCTTCGTCCTCCTGCTCCTCGACGATGCCTTCGGCCAGAACCTCCTGCGCAAAGCTGGTAATCTGACCCTTGACTTTGTTCAAGCTATCGTTCAACTTGAGCCACGACATTTTTCACAGGGGTATTCTCACTTGCCTTTGTACGAACCACGAACCGCGACAATGTCACTTCACATCACTTTGCGACGGATTTAGGAATAAATACGCGAATAACAATCAATTTTACACAGAATTTCACCGAAAACCACGAATATTTTTCACCAGATTCCCGTACATGTACACGTAAATCAAAACAAAAACATCCACGGAGTGTTTTGACGTTTCTTCGGCAGTTCGTTGCGATTTTTTGCGCAGTTATGCTGTCGGTCGGAATCGGTCGGAACTGACAGCATCTACACTGTTAATTTTGATCAATATATTTTTAAAATAAGCATTAATTTTTTGTGAATAAATTTTATGTTCTGATTTCTCCATGGTGAAACATGGTTGATTCCTGATCAACCTGATGTCATATAGAAGAGGATTAACCGGCTGGTTTGGAACAACTCTAATAAAAATAACCATAAAAAAGAGCTTAACGACGTGTTCGGGGTATCATCAAAACCATTTGTGGGATAGTTTACCCATCCAGGATATAGTTCGTTTATGGTATTTGTTTATTAGGGAAAGGAGTCAAAAGTAAATATCAGATGAAATATCATGAAAACCAAGCGTTATATATGTTCCAAAGTGGAATTAATGAGAGCGAAATCGAAAGCGAAATTTGCGAACGATGAAATTAAAATCTTTCGAGTCTAAGAGAAGAAAATTTTTGCAAAAGATTTTCAGAATAATACAAATTGCCTTGACAACCCTAATAAATAGTGGAATAGTTTTACCATTTGGGTTATCGTTCATTTATGATTTTTATTTTTAGGGAAAAAAATCAAGCTACTTTACGCTGATCATTGTTAAATTGAAAGTTTTTTGGAATAATTTATGACTATCGAGCTATTTTGCTATAATACCACAGAGACATTATTTGTCGAGGGGGGCAACACAACTAAATCTCAGTTCTTGATGCTCAACAAATCTCACACTAGCGAATCAATCTTCGAAAAATCTTCTTTCATTTCTCGCATCCACTTGCATTGCTCATCATATTTTTGCAGGAAATCTCCAGAATCAATCTTCTTTCTATCTACTCAGCGTGTACCAGGTCAATGACAAGGCCTATACCAACAGCAGCGTTTGACAGTAGGCAGCATGTCCCGGGCTCAAATCGTTTATTTTGCTGTGCTGGGCCCGCTGTCACGATATAACATGTTGCCTACGCGCCTGCCACTGGGTTGGCGTGCACGCAGCTTGCCACAGAAAAACACAATCTTTGCTTAATTGTTGATAGATTCACCCCCTCGCAGGGAGTAAGTCACTCTGCCACCTTGTGTTCGTGCTTACAGTGTTTCTTCGGTGTTTTTGGGTGTCAGAAGGTGTTTCAGCGTGTCAACATAGTTGTCAAAACGTTGAGTGAAAAATAAAGTTTTCTGGCAACCACTACATCTATCACAGCTGATTCCAATGCGATGTGTTTGCTGTTGATTGGAGAAAGGATAACAATAAACAATAAATTTTCAGACTACTCCTGCCGAACGATACGGATGAACGTGGATCATGGAACGTGGACCAAGCCAGAGAACAACACACACTGGATTTGCACGCGGGAATACCGTGGTAAACGGAACAGCTGACTGTGTTTGGAATGGGACAAAAACTTATACTTCAAAATATTGGAAGAAGGTAGGAGCGTCTCGAGAAGGGTAGTGAATGTCACTGAGATTTTCTTTTTTTAGAACACAGACGCCGCTTTATGATCGCGTGCAAAAGGCAGCATTCGAGGGTTTGAATCGTTAAGTGGTTTGTTAAACGAACGGAGTGGCATCGACGGAGGCGAGGTCTTCATGACTACTAACTACCTGGAGACGTTAGGTCCTTTACATCGGATATTGCAGCCGGCAACCCATTACTGGCAGAATGGGTCGGAACGAGTGGTGACCTCCTCGTGAGAATACATGGAGCAAGGATCGATGCGAATATGATCGGGAGGATTTCAACTATGCCACCCACGAAGCACACATTTGGTCGTTTGATGTCTTACTATACTTAGTGAACGGGAACCGTTGCATATTTCATAGTAGTTCACGAATACGGGAATGGATTTTTTCCAAGTAGCGCTAGTTCTGGCATACACACAAAATATACATAACCAGTTTTTTCTTCGTAACTGTCTTCATAGCCATGTATGAACTTGTTGAGTGGCATAACGGGAAGAACAAAGCATATTCTGAATAATCCGATGAAATAGCCCAGATCTGCTCAGCAACCATTCGAACAACTTTCATTATCGTGCCCCCTAGACTCGTCCTGCAAAAATTAACCGCCGACTGTAGGCCCGATCTCTCTGATTTTGTAGTGCGTATATGGAATGACTACCAAATTAGAAAGAAATATCTTTGTACAACCATCGGTCAATCATTGACTGGATGATTATTATCCGCTCATTTCTTCATATAGTTAAGGATAATCTAGCTCATTAGAGGCTGAAATGGTCTGCTTTTATAATGTTGAGCTTGACGTTGAATCATCATCCCCAATTGCAGGAGTCATCATTGCAGCAATAGAGACCCTAAAGATGATGTAAGGCATTTCGAGTGTCCATATCGGAAAAAAACGGAACATTTCACTTTAAAAGCATTTTTGTGTTTAGGCTACCAAGTGCTTTAAAAAATAACTATTGCATCAGTTTAAGCAGAAGAAGTAGTAATTTATTGCCTCTAAATACTATGATAAAACGTCAGCGTTGCGATTTTACACACGTACACACATTAAATAAAAATATCAACACAGTTGGAATAAATTAAGCAAGCAAAAGAGTGCAAATGTTTGATTATTTATTTGATTATTTGATTATGCTGTGCCGGAAGCTGGTTCTGAGCTCACATCACTTTCCTGACACTCCCGAGCGCTTTCCACCTTGTCACTTTCTTCGGCACTGGCCACGACTTCCAGCGCTTGGTCGGCAGCACCGGCGTGTTTGTCGCCGATAATGATCTCCTCCGGATCGGGAGCATATCCTTAAAGATCAAACTATGCTATGCTTTCATCGTAGTCCAACTCGTAAAGCGGACCGCAGGCCAGGTGGATTCCTTCCGGCAGGGAGCCGGACGGATGCTGGCACGCGACGCATTTCGGAATGTTGAAGTACAATTTGTAGAGGATTGCTGATACGTTATTCTTCCGGAGGTATGAAATAATCTTTTGAGAGAATTTGCGACACGTAGGGTTCCAAATCTGTCCTCGGGTCACCGCTGATGGATTTTGCCGTCACGTGGATGAGATCTTGAAAACAATCAAAATAAATTATAAATTGTCCACACGCCTAGGCAGACCTGATTACTTACAAATGTTCTTCGGGCAAGTGCCACTAAAGTGTGCCAACTGGATAATGGTAGCCCCATCTTCGTGCCCTTCTACGGGGGACAGCTTCATCGGCAACACGCCACCTCCACCGGAATTCTGCGATGCAGAATTCAGCAGCTAGTGTGGTCATTCCCCATGGCGATTTTGTTGTACACATTTTGTTGTAATGGATCAAATTCGAGGTCAACTTTTGTTTCTTCAAATACTCCAGGAACGTCTTTCCCTCGACTTCCGCTGCCTGATGCTCGCTCCCTTCTCCTTCCCCTTCCCAACTTGCGCAACTCTGCAGAAACTTCATCAACAGTCGCTTCTCCATCACATTCACGTCCCGACTTGTAAACACATCCAACCTCGAACACGGAACCGTCATAATCCTCCCGTTCCAGATCGTCGCAACTCGGTCCACCGCTCTAAATTCCGCATACCGACCCTGATACTGACAGATGTTCGACGAAATCAGGAGTCCGTGTCCCGATCACATTTCTGTGGAATCCTACCGATTGCTTTTTTTTTGCCATTTAAATGATCTTTATTTCTTGTGATTGTGTGGTTTACATGTATGAATTTTTTAAGTGACACAGATGCGTCTTTTCAACTTTAGTACATTTGAGATTTTAATTATTATTTACAGTTCCTAGTCCTATCAGGCCTATTTTAAAGTATGACCACCTTGGTGGGATTGGTTTGATTTGAATTGGAAAAAGGAGACTACTTATAACTACTATTTACAACTACAACTAACCTACAACTACTATGTACACCTAACCTACTATATACAAATTGCTTATCAAATCATGTTCTGATAAATTACATTTTTGTGCAAATTTAATCTTAATTTCGTTAATTTTGGAATCTATTTTGGCAATGCCTGCCTCTTCATGTAAATTTGTTATTCTAGTGTCGAAAGGACGATCAAGAACCATCCTCAGCACTCTATTCTGAGCGACCTGAATTTTGTTCCTGTGAGTCTGTGCACATGATTCCCACACCGGAGCTGCGTAGAGGATCGCAGGTGCTATGATTTGTTTGTAGACGGCCAGTTTGTTCACCCTTGAGAGGCGGGATCTGCGGCAAATCAGCGGATACAGACACCTAACCAAGGCGGAACACTTGACTATGGTTTTCTCCACATGCGAGCGGAATAGAAGCTTTTCGTCAAACAACATCCCGAGATAGGTTACTTCGGCGGACCACTCAACCCTTGTGCCATCCATGATTACAGTACAAGAGGGAGCCGGTTTTAGTTTGGGTGATTGTCGATGGAGGAACATGATTGTTCCTACCGATTGCTGGACGGTGATCTCTACTTAAGAAAAATGCAACAAAAACAAAAAAGAGCATCACACGAATGTAAACATTCTTGGCTCTAGGCAGTGCTGCCAAAAAAGATTGAAAAATTGTTCTCATGGTGATTAATGGGTGTTTGAGTGTGTCGAAGGTGTTTTTGATGTGTTTAGCACAAGGTGGCAGAGTGACTTACCCCCTGGTTCGCGTGTAAAGGGCCTTAGAAAGTTTGTTTACAAATGCTATGCCTGAAATCTGATGTCTGGACAAAATATCAAGAATACTTTATGCGGTTCTTGGAGCAATTGAAGATTTTAGGAATCATTCCAGAACATTCTGCTTTCTGAAAGAAATATCCCTAGGAATTGGTCGCGTCAAAATTGTTCAGTATTTATTTCCATAACTTTTTGAAAGTTGAAATTCCAACCGAGAATCCAACCTCAACTCCCACAAAACAGCTCTCGAAGTGCAGCCTGCTCAAGAAAGTGGCAGTTATTATGATACACTCTAAACATAACATCAGCATGATGCTTGATAGTTCTTACACATCCTAGTACACATCCAACATTATCGATAAATAGTTGATGAAATCGGATAAAACTTGCAGGCGCGTTTATTATTCATTACTAATCGAATGTATCCACAGTTCATCGTAATTAAGAATCGAATTTTATTTAAATCCATGAAATGAAAAGTGTAACGGAAAACATTCATCTCCTTCGGAGCAAGAAATGGTCATGCTGGTAAAACGTGATAGATTTTACTAAATTTTTGTACAATAAAAACCCATATTATTAAAAAATATTCCAACATTTCACAATCACTGGCTGCAAGATCTTTTGGCGTTCTTCAACAACTCAGCGCCAACATTTCAAAGGGGCGTAATTGCATTTGTAAACAATGGCTTTAGTCGTCGATTTCTCGCGAATAAAAGCTCACTCTTGGAAAATAATGACACCAACAGGTAGAGGAATGTTTCCTCTACCAGCTAGCATTATAGTTTTGGAGAGATAAGATTTCATTCGCGAGAAATTGACGGCTAAAGTCAATGTTTACCAAAGCTATTACGCCCCTTTGAAATGTTGACACTGAATTGCTTTCTCAGTTCATGCATTTTGACGTTCCACTGCAATCGGCAATAAATAAATATTTCATACATCAGTCAGAGACGTTAAATAGAGACACGCATAGACTGAAGCAAGAAGAACCAAACGAGCAAAGTAAATAAACATTACTGTTCCGTCAATTCACCAGAAAGTAGTATTGTTCTCAAGGATGATAAAAGTGTTTAATTATTTTCACGAAATATTTGATATATGTTGTTTACTTATTTATTCTTGATGCAATTAAATGCCACATTTATTAGTGATAAAAAAATTATGGTATTAAAAATGATTTCGCTACAAGAAAAAACAGTAAAATATGACAAAATTTATATTGTCATGGAGCGACTGTCATCTCTCGTCTTCACTTTATTTTTGCAAAATGTTGCCGCGCACTTCATTTTTATTCAGTTCCGGTCGAACGTTCAAATTTTCTTAACAGCATTGCGGCACTGTATGAAAGTCATTTGAAGCCACTCGAAGGAGCATCGTTGCCAGTGACATTGCCAAAAGATCCATCAAAAACCGACAGAAACAGCATCTCTGACATCCGTATGAAATACATTTAGTCGATCATTAATTTTGTTTTGCTGTGTACGGATGTTGAAACTGACAGCATTGTACATTGTAGAAAGAAGTGATAGTAGCGGTGGAGATGCTCTATTCTCTAAAAAAAATGCCAAATAATATTCAACGTGCACGCCCACAGGTATCCGTCAATTGACAGCTCTCCGCGCGACGATCGCAAACCACGCGACACGCGAATGTAAACAGACAACAGTTTCGAGTTTATCATCAAAAAACCACCGGCAGAAATTTCGCCAAAAAGGCCTCCAAAATGTTAACGAATCGAGTATTTATGAAGAAAACTAGAAAAGGTTAGTGCACTTCACGCTTCGAGCTGAAAATTGCTTCTAAACTTGCCTGATTGGTACCGTTTCAGGCGGCATAATAAAAGTCGTCCGCGAGCACTACCTCCGTGATGATATCGCCTGCGGAATAGCGTCGTGCGGGCTGTGTATGCTGACGGAAACACGGACCAGTTTGGATCGGGCGCCGCAGTTTTGCAGCACGGCTGTCCCCGGACCGCACTACCTGATGCTGGATACGAACATCATTTTGTATCAGATCGATTTCCTGGAATCGGATGCCATCAAGAATGTTATCGTGCTGAGTACGGTACTGGACGAGGTTCGGCATCGGAGTCCGGTGATTTTCAAACGTCTGCGGAAAATCCTGGGCGATCCCGGGAGGAGATTTTTCACGTTCGTCAACGAACACCATCGGGATACGTATTTGGGAAAGGGCGTCGGGGAGTCGGCCAATGATCGGAACGATCGGATGATTCGGAAAGCGGCGGCGTGGTATGGGAAGCACATCAAGCAGGAGGATCCGAAGAATAAGGTGCGAGTGGTGATGCTGACGGATGATGTGGAAAATAGGAGGAAAGCGAAGGAGGACGGATTGCTGGTTTCGTCGGTGGCGGACTACGTGGGATCGTTAAGCGAGCATCCGGAACTGAGAGATAAGGTGTTCAGTAGCGAAAAGTGGCAGGACGAATCGAAGATCATATTCCCGTCGCACTTTACGACGACGCAGATTCACGAAGGAATTAAGAAGGGAGAGTTGCTGCAGGGAAGCTTTTTTGCATCGAGGGATAATTTCCTGGAGGGAAATGTGCGGGTGGAGAGTATCGAGGAACCGGTTCTGATTCAGGGTAGATTGAATTTGAATCGAGCGGTGGACGGAGATGTGGTGGCTATTAAATTATTGCCCAAGAGCGAATGGAAGTGTCCCAGCAAGGTGGTCCTGGTGGACGAACAGGCAATAGATGACGAAGCAGTCGAGACTGCTGATCCGGAATTTGAGCAGGACGAGGGAGGGGATATTGTCCCAACTGCGGCTGTGGTCGGTATTATCAAGAGAAAATGGCGCCAGTACTGTGGAATACTGGCAGCTAATCTGATGGCACAATCGACGCGACATTTGTTTGTCCCATCGGACAGGAACGTCCCTCGGATTAGGATTGAGACAAGACAATCGGCACAGCTAGTGTCACAACGGATCGTCGTTGCAATTGACTATTGGCCGAGACATTCCAAGTATCCCATTGGACATTTCGTGCGAGCCTTGGGTGTCATCGGGGAGAAGGATACGGAGAATGAAGTAATTCTGCTGGAGCACGATGTTCCCCATGGAAGCTTCTCGGCGGAAATCCAGGCCCAGTTACCGAAATTGCCGTGGACCGCAGGTCCGGAAGAGTACAAGAAGCGCGTGGATTTGAGAGATATTACGATCTGCTCGGTAGATCCTCCCGGTTGTACGGATATCGATGATGCATTGCACGCCCGAAAACTCGACAATGGCAACATCGAAGTCGGAGTGCACATTGCCGATGTGACGCACTTCATCAAACCGGGAACTCCGTTGGATAAGGAAGCAGGTCTCCGCGCAACCACCGTCTATCTGGTGGACAAAAGAATCGACATGGTTCCGGATGTTCTCAGTTCCAACCTTTGCTCTCTGCGAGGAGGCGAAGAACGTCTAGCATTCTCTTGCATCTGGGAACTGGACAGCAATGCAAACATCCTACACACCAAATTCCACAAGTCCATCATCAAATCGAAAGCGGCAATGACCTATCAGGAAGCCCAGCTGATCATCGACGATCCCTCAAAGACGAATCAGACTGCCCAATCGTTGAGACTGCTCAACCAACTGGCGAAAATCCTGAAAAGGCGTCGTATCGACAATGGAGCCCTGGTCCTCGCGTCGCCGGAGATCCGTTTCAACATCGACAGCGAAACGCACGATCCCATTGATGTGGTGGCCAAGAAGCTCCTCGACACCAACTCCATGGTCGAAGAGTTCATGTTGCTCGCCAACGTCTCCGTAGCCGAGAAAATCGAACGAGAATTCCCGGAATGTGCCCTGCTCCGTCGTCACCCTTGTCCACCGGATGCCAACTTCGATCCACTGAAGAAGGCCGCTTCCTACCAGGGTTTCGAAATCGACACCTCCAGTGGAAAACAGCTGGCCACCAGTTTGGACCTCGCAGTCAAAAAGGACAATCCCTACTTCAACACTCTGCTTCGGATCCTCACCACACGCTGCATGATGCAAGCCGTGTACTTCATCAGCGGCACCATTCAACAGCAGGAATACTTCCACTACGGTCTCGCTTCTCCCATCTACACTCACTTCACGTCTCCTATCCGTCGTTATGCGGACGTAATCGTCCATCGGCTGCTGGCGGCTTGCATCGGAGCCGACGCCACCTATCCGGCCCTGCTGGACAAACAGGCCAGCTCGCAGCTGTGCAACAATCTGAACTACCGCAACCGGATGGCCCAATACGCCGGCCGCTCCTCCGTCGCCCTACATACACATCTGTTCTTCCGCGATCGAACCGAAGACGAGGAAGGCTACATCCTGTTCGTCAAAAAGAATGCCATCCAGGTCATCATTCCCAAGTACGGCCTGGAGGGTACCATCTACGTGGCTGGCAAGAACAACGAGAAGCTTAAAAAGGACGGTCCCACCTTCGTGTACAACGAGGAAACGCAGACGCAATCCTGCGGCGACGTGGAGTTCCATGCCTTCGATCGGGTCGTGGTCCGATTGAGTTTGGATTCGACCAACGTGCAGCATCAGCGGTTGGTGTTTGAACTGGTCACTCCGTTCATCGAAGGGTTCAGTGTGGCTGCGCTGGAAGGCGGTGATGCTGCTGCTGCTGCGAAGCGGAAGGGCGAAGAGGTCGTAGAAGACACCGGGAAGGTGGCCAAGAAGAGCAAGAAAGGTACGTTTTTGGGCATAATCTATGTTAAGTGGCATTTGGAAAATTATGATCCTTTTTACTTGCAGAGGAAAGTAAGAAAAAGAAGAAGTAAAAACTTCGTTTCGAAAACTGTTTCAAAGTTCATTCTTATGGTAAGTTTAACGATTAAAATCGGCGTGACAAATTATATTCGTTTAGAAATCCTGTTCATGGTTGATTTTGATGACATCCTTAAAATTCAACCGAAAAACGTGTGACGGGTTCACCCTGGAAGTGCTGCATTTAGCAATGCTTTATGCCGTGCATCATGCTGGTTGCATATTTATAGGCGGTTTTTTGAGCATTTGAAATATTTCAGTAGGTGCTGAAAAATATTCACGGTCCATGAAAACAACTCAAACATGACTCAACTCACTCGATTTCGTAAAAACTGGAGTCACATTACCGACAAACCGACTTAGAATTTAAATTCAACTTTTGCTCAAAACCCCTATAAAGGCCGATTCAAATATGTAGCGATCCGATCTGTTAAAATCATAGGATTTTTTATATCTATAGATAAAAATAATTTATCTAGCATAGATCAGACACGATCCATCTAAAAAATGGTGACGTTTTCGTGGTTTGACTAAACGTTTTCCGCAAACATGGGGATAGATGTCAGAAGTGTGCGATGAGCAGAAATTTCATGCTAACTTTTATGGACCCATCACCAACAAACCGACATGACACTTGATTCTGACTTATGTCCGAAAATCGTGAACGGCCGATTTAAATGCGCAGTGACCCGAACTGTCAAAATCATAGGATTGTTTGGTCTAGATAAAATAATTTATCCAAAATAGATCAGAATAGGATAGGATTGTTTGGTCTAGATAAAATAATTTATCCAAAATATTATTATTATTATTATTATCTCTATTTAGGAGATTTTCAGCCGCAGGCTGGTTCATCTCCGGGAGCCCCAGAAGGGGGCTTCCCTAATTACATAGTTGAGATTTTGGAGAACCCAGAAGGGGTTCTCCTAGAGGTTGGTGGAGCTCCAGAAGGGAGTCCCCTTAGTACAGAGTATTTTTAAACAGAGTTCATTATAGTTCCTGTCTTGGTTCTTAGCGTGGTTGGCGGATCATGGTGTGAATGGCGGTGGTCGTTGTCGAAGGCAGTCAGGTAATCGTCATGTGATATCCAGGCTTACTCCAGTGGTGTCCATGTTCGAAGTGTAGTCATTTTGAATAGGTTGATTATATTTTATCGAACAGTCCAGCATCTTTTAGGAAAACTATTAGGGCTGCTTCCGTGGACGGGTCGTTAGAGAGGGCGTTACGTATGCTGTTCGGTATTCCATAGAGGAGCCGGATGTTATGAAAGCAGGGACAGTTAACAATCAGGTGTTCGACTGTCATAATCGTGTTGCAGGAGTCGCAAAACTTCCGAAAAGAGGCAGCACTACCCATGTTGTGGGTCACTCGGGTGTGTCCGGATCGAAGCCGGGATAAGACCTGTTGTTCCCATCGGCTCGTAATGTCATTCCATTTGGAGGTGTCGTCCTTTATTTTTCTCAGGAACGGTCCCCTTTTTGCGAACCACTCCCGGGCCCAGGCGTCTCGGAGGGATGCTTTCACCCATTTTTTTACGTCCTGACTGGGTACAACTGTGGTGGCCATCCGGCCGGAGCGACCTGTGGCAGCGAGATGATCTGCTTCACAGTTGCCCCGGATACCGCAATGGCCGGGTACCCAAACAAATGAGGTGTTTGGCGGCGCGGCCTTTTGGATCCCTTGTATCCAGGGGTGTCTGGATGTTGCTGAATTCAAGGCGTATAAAACGCTGGCGGAGTCTGTTAGGACACATATGGGTTTATTGGCGGGTGTCGTGGTGGCGAAGTGGATGGCCGCAGCCTCCGCCGAGAAGACGGAGCACTGATCGGGTAGTCGAAAGAAGTAGCTATTGGATACATCCGCTACTCCGAATCCAACCTTCCCCACGGCCTTAGAGCCGTCCGTGTAACGGTGTTGAAAATTTGGATATTTAGTTCTCAGCAGCTCCGCTACGTGGGCCTGCATGGCACGGGAGTTGTTACCTGCCTTGAAGCGCTTGGCAATTGAAAGGTCAACGCGTATGGTTGGTTCTGTCCATCCTCTGGCTCCGTTCCAGTGTACCCTGGACACGGGTGGGAGCTCCTGATGGACCAAGTTTCCGAGAACTCTGTTCCCCTCCCTGAGGAGAAAGACCTCGTGATTCCCGGTGGTCTTTTCCAGGTAGCTGGTCGTTCTGCAGCTCAGCGTTTCGGCGACTTGGTATTGAAACGGTAGTACACCGAGTTCGACGCATGCCGATTCAGCCGGTGTTGAAGGCAGAAGTCCTGCGACGATTCTGATTGCCTGGTTATACGTTGGGGCTAGTCGTGTGGTAAGAGAGTCGTTGGAAAGGCAGAACAGTTCGATCCCGTAGAATAATCGACTGTTTACAGTGGCTTTGGCCACTTTTAGTAGAATCTCTCTGTTACTGCTCCGGTGTGGTTTGGAAAGTGTCCGGAGGAGGTTTAGCCGCGTGCGGCAGTTGGCTTTGATTTCGTTGAAATGTGCGTCGAACCTCAGCTCCCGGTCCAAGCGTACACCGAGAACCTGGATGGTCTTCTTGTTGGGTATTGGAATATTGTTCGCAACGATGGCTGTTGGTAGCGGGCGATGACGGAAGTGGCATAGGTGGGAAACCACGCTCTTTTCTGCGGATAATTCAAAGCCGACCCTACTGGCCCATCTTGTGGTGGCTGATACAGCAGCTTGTAATTTCCTTCGCAGAGCCTTGAGGGTGCGTCCTAAAGCCAGCAGGACGATGTCGTCTGCATATACAAATATGTATATTCCTTTTGGTAGGATCCCAAAGACTCCATTCATGGCGACCAAGAAGATGGTGACCGCTATGACGGATCCCTGTGGGACTCCAGTTTCTTCCGCCCGAGTTGAGGAGCGGTGGTTCCCGATCATCACCTGAAAGCTTCTACCGCAAAGGAAATTTTTTAAAAAGTGTAGAATGTGGCCACCCAGACCCCAGTCAGCCAACTGTTTGATGACTTGGGGGGTCCAGGCGCGGTTATACGCCTTAGCTAAATCCAGGGCCGCTATGTCGACATGGAGTTCTTCATCCATCGCCTCTTGGAGTACATCGCCCAGGCCAGTAAAGTACGTTCCGGTGCCGTGACCGGATCTGAACGCATGCTGTCGGTGATCGAGATGGTCGTTGTCCTCGAGAAAGCGAATTAGACGGCGATTGACCATCCGTTCCATGACTTTACTAATGCAGCAAGTCAGAGAGATCGGACGGAAGTTTTCTGGAGTAGAGGCCACTTGCCCCTGCTTTGGGATGGGGACTACCAGACTGTGGGACCATTCGTTTGGCAGGGTGTTCTCTATCCAGATTTTATTTATTAGGTCTAGCAGTTCGACTTTGGTGCTGGACGGGAGATGTTGCAGCATGGGGTATCCTATATCATCCGGACCGGCGGATTTCCCTTTGCTGCGGGATAGTGCAAGGGTTAGTTCATCGAACCGAAAGGGCGCGTTGATGGGCGTAGGTACAGAGTCCTCCGGAATGACAATGTTGCCAAGGCTCTGTGTGGATGCGTGGTTTTTTTGTATGAATTTCCTGTCATAGCGGTCAATGGCAGAGAGTGAGGCGAAATAGTCAGCCAATTCGTTGGCGATGGTGAGCGGGTCTCGTGTGAGGCCGCTTTGGAGGCGGAGGGCCATCCCCCTGGCCTTTCTTTTTCCGTTGAGGGCGTTGACCCGGCTCCACAACTCGGACGCCGTTTGGTTGGAGTTGATCCCCTCCAAAAATTCCTCCCAGCTACTTTTCTTGGCATCCCTGATGATTTGCCGGCACTCGTTTCGCTTGGAGCGGTAAAGCTCGGTGGCTCGTTCCTTGTCTGGGTGGTCTTTAGGGAGGCGCTTCGCAGCACGAAGAGCTTTCCTTCTGGCTTTGATTGCAGATTTCGCTTCGGGACACCACCAGTGCAGGGGTTTTCGGCCGGGGTTGGGGCTGGTCTTCGGGATGGCGATATTGGCGGCCTCAGTGATGATCCCCATGAATTCTTCCATGCTCGTCGCTGGGTGGTCAATGTATGCCTGCGTCACATTATCGTTGAAGAGTTTCCAGTCAGCTTGATCGTAAAGCCACCTGGGTCGCCTTGAGGTCTCTGGAGGATCATCCCCTAGCGAGATGATGATGGGGTAGTGGTCGCTCCCTGCTGGATCCTCGAGAGTTTTCCATAGGAGCCGCCCAGTAATCGCTGGACTAGCCGCGGAGATGTCGATCGTTGTTTCGTACTGGCCGCGAACGAAGGTGCTCGAGCCATCGTTGAGGGTCACTAGGTCGAGGGACTCTATGAGTTCCGCTATAGTAGAGCCACGGGGGTTTGCTTTGGGGCTCCCCCAGGAGGGGTGGTGCCCGTTGACGTCACCGAGGAGTAGAAGAGGGCCGTCGATTAAGGCTAAAGCTCGTTGGAGCTTGTTCAGTAGGTCTGGGATTTTCCCGTGAGGCAGGTAGATGTTAATGACTGATAATGGAAAAGGGGATTCGACTTTAGCTCCCACGATTGGGAGATCGGTGTTAAGGTTGATGGGAGTGAATGGGATGCCATCAGCGATCCCGACGGCGACCGAGTGGTAAATGTTGCTTTGGCTGCAATTGTTGATCCAATGGAATTTGCTCGCAAGTGTGCGATTCATCTGTCCTATGTTGGCTCTGTGGGTCTCCTGGAGGGCCAGGAACATGGGTGAGTTGTTCTGAACTAGAATTTCCAAGTCCCCGAGATTGTTAAAAAATCCGTTCATGTTCCATTGGATCGCTAAAGTGGTGCTGCGAGGTCTTCCAGGAACGCTAGGACTTTTGGTTGGAGAGGGCATTTGGGTATATCTGGTGGTGGAGTTGGAGCAAGTCGAGGTTGGAGAGCTGGGGGTAGATCCCAGCAAGGCTCCACCGGCCGAAGGTGTCAGGATTGAACCCACTGCCTGCAGAGTTGTATGAGCCACCGAAGCAGATGCAGGTCTAGGCGACAGACCGATGGTTGGAGAAAGGTATTCTCCAGTAATGTCCCGGGACGACTGTCCAGTAACTGACTTGATATGGCATCGTTTGAGGCCGGGCGTTTTGGTGTTTGTTAGTGATGAGCAGAAGG